GGAAGCGTGTTTTCAATGTCTCCCTGCCTGTTTAGGTTAATTGGTGTATGTGATCAAATGTTCTTTCAAGTCAGGTGTCAAGTTCTTGTCAGTTTTTCAATGAGGTAGTGTCGTTTCAGTCATTTTATAAACAAGCATTGTCAAATCAAAATCATTTTTATTGGTTTGCATTAGTATGTTACGTCATCTTTTTTAAAGTTAAAAAATTCAAAGTCTCAGCCCGGTCTGATCATCCGCGGTGGTGTAGTCAAAAGGTAGTTAGCCTTTGTTAGTCTTAGGTATAAGTTTTTTTTTTTTTTTTTAAAAAATGTCATGTCAGTAATTATTGTTGCGTGGAGGGGACGCCTTCTCACGTATGTGCGCGTACAACCTTTTATCAAAAAAAAAAAAAAGGTACAATATGTCAAGCCATGGTTAAATCAAAGTCAAATCCTAGGTCAGTCAAAGTACTGTGTCAGTCAGTGTACTGTGTGTTGAAATAGTTGTGTGTGTGTGTGTATCTATTTTATTGCATTGTTCAAGTGTGTGTGAGTTTCCTTTTTATCAAATGCAAATGTGTAAATGTCTTTAGTATAGTCTTATTCTTATTCATTTCACTTTTATACCTTCTCTGAGTATATATATTGTGTATCATTTCTCAGTGACTTGTCTTCCGCATTTCATCATGCTGTTCTTTAATCCCATCAAACTTTTGTTTTTGAGCATTAAAAGTATAAGTCCTTAACATGTCTATCAGTGTTACCTTTGTTAAAAAATTGTCCATCAAGTTTGTTGTATCAAAACTCATCATTCCCAAACCGAAGTGTCAGCTCTTGTTTAAAAGTCGTTTCTATTGTGTGAAAACAAAATAATCACCTGTTCACGTCATCCAACTTTGTTCAAATCAATTCATTCAAATGTGCCCTGTATCTTCGTTAATTTTCTTTAAAGTTTGACTTACTTTCAGTAATGACAAAACCAAACCAAGTTGATTCAAGGTTTGTTATCTTCAAAGCATAGAAATCATTCTAGTTACATCAAACGTATTGTCTGCAACTTTAAAAGTCCTTGTCCTATTAGGTACTGTAGTAACTCTTTGTTCCAGAAAATAGGAACTTTGTGAATCTTTTGTTGTCTGTTCATGTACGTTTTTATTTAAATCAAGCGTTGATCCTTTTCAGGGTAACTCTTTTTCGAGTTTCTGAAGTTTGAAAAAAAAATCTTGTCTAAGTTGTAAAGTGTCCGTGATTATTTATTCTTGTTCAAAAACCTTTGCCAAGGGGAGGGATGATAAGTAAGTGTAAGTGTATGATAAGCGTGTAACTGTAAGTCTTTGTTAAAACTGATTATGCTCATATCGTCATCGTGATGTTCAAGCTTATGTTAATTTATTCAAGTCCACTGTCCATTTTGTAGTTCCTTAAACTGCCAATTTAATTGTCTGTGTTATCATGTTATTCATTGTCTGATTCTAGTCATTATTTGTAAGTTAGGGTTCAACAACAAAAACCTTAGCGCCAAGAGGGTGTTGTGTATGACAACAGATAGCGCCACAGTCGTCTAGTCACGGCCTTCTGTATCCTTGTGTATTGTCCACCTCTGTGATAAAGCTGTTAAATAAACTCAGTTCAGTCTGATCCTTTGACAACGAACGTCTAGTCTCTCCTACTCCTTCGGCCCTCAACAGCACTATAGTAGAGGACACGACAGACTGCAATCTATGTATGAGAAATAAACCAAACAGTATTACTGACATAAACAACTAAATCAACAAAAATCCTGTTGTACAAATAAGAGTACCGATGTGCCGTTCTCCTTAAATTAGTGTTTAGTCACTTCTCGCTTCGTCTGTAGTGCCACATTTTTCAAACTTTGAAGCATTGGTGTATGCATGCTGCTGAGGTCTAGTCATCGTCATCGATGAGTCTTTTCTTGTTTTGACGGGCGTATCGGTGGATGACAATGGCTAGTTATAAAATGACCAATTACTATTTGAGTCTGTTTTCGTTTATACCCTTTTTATTGTGCTTTTGCTGTTCGACTTACCAAGAACGCCAGGTAATTTTTTTTTTTTAATTTCATTGTTTTAAAGAACTGCCCTTGCTATTGTGATGGACAACATGGTTAGGTTACCAATAGTGTCATGTGTCGTAATGTAAACATTGTTTAGAAGTGATGCATTTCCTCTAAATCCCCTACCTTCATAAGAATCCTTTCTTTACACCCAAAATATTTCTTTAAAAACAGAAAGACAAGCATATTGCATATCTGTATGGTAAAAGACTTCGACTTGCTTCATTACCCTATTGTTTGCGCAAATGACCTTTACTCCCTTGTATGGGTCTTACCATTATTTATCCCAGAGAACACAGTTTCGTTAAAATGACATCAAGTGATGTCAGCGTCAAGATTTTGTCATTTTGGTGGCCTGATTCGACCTCATTTTGATCTCTGATGACATCACTTGATGGACTTGATGTCGAAGCAAAGCAACCAAATTTTGACACTGACAGTTCTTGATGTCATCTTGAAAATGTCGTGTTCTTTGGGATACCTGACTCTAATCATAGTTCTATGAATTTAATCACATTTTCTTTCTCTTTCAGTTGGTTGCAGAACTTTATCCTAACAGCACCAATGTAGAAATTGTCCATGTTCGTGCTGTTGGGTCAAATGACACACTTCACTATGTTTGGTGTTTTCGCTCCAAACCAACAGTGTTACTAGCTCTAACGTCTCATGCTTCAAACCTATCAGTTCTGTGGGAACAGTTCCCCAGCACTGCCAACAGCATTTCCTTTGAACCTAAACCAATATACTCATTTGGAGTGTCAGTGAATCAGGTGAGATAAACTGCATGATCTTACTTTTATAATGTAATAATTATTAGACATCAATTTCAAGTGTATTTTTGTTTCAGTTATATGAGTTCAATGATGTAAATGACACAGGACTCTTAGATATGAATAACTCTAGTGAATCATATATTCACACTATAGACATGCCTGACACTTGGGAAATGAAAGACATTGAGCAAAATCTTGATTTTGTACGTCTGGTAATGGAAGGTTCCTGGAAAAATAATGAATCGTTTGTAAAGCAGGGAACTATAAGGATTGAGGTATGACACTCCAGGTTGCGTTTTTTATCTCATGGTTTCTTTGTTTTTAGATAGTTTACTCACTGCATGCTTTTTTGAATTATTTCCCATTTTTAGCTTGAAACCTATAGAGAACAAGGTCATGGTTCAGACTTACCCCACTTGATGCACTCTACAAATGCTACTCAATTGGAGTTTAGCATGCGTAACATGATTACTAATTCTAGTTTCAAGCAGAGTAGGTTTGCATCTGAACTCATTTTAGCTGCAAATGAAAGTGCTAAAAGTAGTGTTTTTCCTACTGCATACAAAAGTTTTGATGATGAACATACACCAGGAGTTTTTACAGTGAGTACTCTTATTAATTCTGTGACTGATTCTTTAAAAATAACATGCTATGTACACTTTTAAATTTAACACACTTTTTTTTTCAGTTAGTTGACCTACAAACTACAGCAAGTAGAGAGCAAAACAAAGGTGGTTACATGCAGTGGCGACCTGTGGCTTATGTGGCAGATGAAAGGGACATAGTAAATTCTACAGAGACAGCATTTTATGATATAAAAAATATTACAAATACATCATCAAAGTGTGATGGAACTTTATTGGCAGCATACTTTGGTGACAATCTTAGTAAGAATCTTTTAAATGCACTGAATATTTCATTTGGAGCAAAAGACGATGGTTTCTATGCTCAAAATAATATGTCAATCTGGTAAGATTTTCAATGTTGTCATCATTCTTGTGTGTGTCCACAAATTGATTTACTAACAGTTTATTTTATTTTATTTTTTCAGGACTATTACCATAGGATATGGTCATCCTCCAGATGAAAACTTCTCACTCTTTCTTATCTTAATTATGAGCTTTGGTTTAGGATTGCCTACAGTTATCATAATGATTAGTGGATTGTATATTGCCCTCCGCAGAATAACATACCGTAAAGATGATTTATTTCTTAGTGAATAGATTGATTTGAAAGCTTTGTTTGAAAGACTGTGTTTTAATATGCGTCAAAGTACCTTTTGGTAGAGATATGCACATTATCAGCATTAAGTGGATCTTTGATATTAGCTCCCTATTTTATAATCTCAATATTTTTTTCTTTCTTATTAAATACTGACATCAGTTTCCTATTAAAGTCATTCTGGCTGTGTTGAAGTGTTTTGTGATATGCTATCGAGATTGTAAAAGATTTGTTCAGTGATGTATATTTTTGTGTCTAGTTTGGGTAAACACTGGAGGGATTTAAAGGATAAATGCCAAAGCCATTGGGGGAAAAAAAACATCTACGTATATATTTACAGCTCTATTTTTATTGGTGAGTTGGACTTTCATCTGAGGTAAATTTGGAACAGCAATGTCAATTGTTCATGTGAAGTTTAAGGTCAGGCATTATTTCCTAGTTCCTATAATGTCCTTGCCAGTGCAATTTTGTGTTTTAACAAATCAAAGGCAACAAATAAATTTAAATGAATTGCTGAAAATCCTTTTTAGTTTTGTAAGGAGGGTTCTTTCCAAGCCAGTTTCTTGTTATTTCTGTTGTCAGTGTCCTCTCATTTTTGTGGCGAGACTTTACTTGCTCAATGTGGACTTGTCTGCAACTTATTAATATTTTTGTGTAATGATTAGTCTTTGAACTAGGTGTAATCACAGGTCTTATCGGAACCCTGCATTTTGTATCCTGATCATACTTGATGTGTGGTTTTCCTCTTATACATTTTAATCACTTTGACAGTGTATAATGCCAAAGGTGCCATCCAAGTTGGGGAATTGTGTTTAGATTATAATTAATTTACTGGAAGTCAAGTATCAATGAAGGAATATTTTCTTAGTTATGAGTTTGGTTTCTTGTGCCCATGCCACCCTTAGATTTGATTTGAAGAAAAGGTGATAGAAAAGGTTAAATCACAAGCCATTGCAAGGTTTAAATTAAGCCTAGCATTATATTTTTTCATAATAAAACATCTCATCCTTACAAATTCACATATCACTGCTACTTGAACACAACACATGTTTGCGGCTTCCACTGAATTGTGTTAAGAGAAACTGAGCTTCAGTGCATAAAGAAAAGTCCTGTGACTTTTAAAGTTCAACACATGATGGCTCACTACACTGCAAATTCAATTACATTTTCATATTGGAACCAAATGGCACAAATAAAGAAGCCCAGAATATGATTTTTAAAAAAACATTCTTAATCATAAAGGAAAGGTACTATCAAGACTTTATAAAAGCCTTGCAATTTGTTTGGTTTGTTCATTTTAGACACTCCCTTCAAGAACATTTTCAGGCCCACCCAATCTTCAAATTTTGATAACTGTTAACCAAATACAACAATTTGACTTTCTTCACATTCAAAGAAATATTGCTTTCCATTCAAGTTTCTGACAAAACTTTACTTCAGATCTTTGTGAAACACAAATCAGAGGTAAACACCATACCATGGTGTTATAGGCTACTACTCCAAAAAAGCAAAACCTATCAGTCAAATAGGAAATCATCCCAAAAGATTTTGTACAGAGCTGCATACTGAAATGGTCACACACAAAACAAAGTCCACAACCAACATGCCTTTATCAGTTCTGCAACATATCACTAAGTGGTAAATGCAGTAAAAGCACACAGGCACCATTGAGTCAAACATGTATCATTGACACAGTTCACAAGACCTGTGGGCCACACTTACAGGGAAAAGGGGGAGGAAGGGTTAAGGATCAGTCTGATTGCATAAGTTACAGCAATCGTCTGCAGTTGCTGAGTAGGTGGAAGATCAGCAATTTCACAGAGCTGCTGGTTGGTAAATTAACTCATGATTTAGGATGGAAGAATGCTCACAGCTCATCGTGTGTCTGTAAAAAAGCAAAGGAGGATTACATTACATTCAGAGACTTACATGTGACAACTTATGACGAAACTGAAATATTATTTACCTCTTCTGCTTTGTCTGTGCTGTCCTTTTCTGCTACATCATTGTCGTCATCATCCTCATCGTCATCTTCTTCTTGTTCTTCCTTCACTTTCTTGTCATTTTCTTCCTTCTTTCTCTCTTCCTCATCTTGAGCCTCTTTCATCTTCTTTTCACCCTCAAATGTTGCTTTCCAGTTCTCTTTGCCAACAGTCTTGGCATATTCAGGGTCGTCGCTGATCAGGACATTGTCAAAGATGGTACCAGCCTTCACTTGCCACAGGTCAAAACCAATCCCGCAAATTTCCTTTCTCAGGTAGAGGTCACTGTCAGACTCATACTCAGGGTTGTCAATTTCAGGGTGAACCCATGGTCCCTGCAGGAGTCGGCAAAACATTAATACAAATTTGATAGGAGTTGTAAGGGAACAACTCAAGTGCTGGAATAATTTGCACCTACCTTGTAGTTGGGGTTGTCAATCTGCTTTGGCTTCCATTCTCCCTTGTAGTCAGGGTTGTCGATCATTGGGGGTTCCCATTCACCATCCATTTCATCATCCCAGTCCTCAGGCTTGCTGGCATCAGGGTCAGGAATGTGCTCTGGCTTGTCCCAATCTTCAGGCTTGGTGTCCTCAGGGTCATCAATGGTTGCCTTGTCATCCCAGTCAGCTGGCTTCTTTGCTTCAGGATCCTTGATCTTCTTAGGGGGAAGGAAGTTCCAGTCGGCTTCCAGTTCACCAGATTCAACCTTGTCACCATCAATAAGCACCTGTTCGTAAAACAAAAGGGGTAAATTAGCACAAATTCTAGAAAATTGTATAAGTGGACAAAGGAAGAGCTTCTTACTTCATAGGTGTTATCAGGATTCACAATAAGTGTATAAAGATGAGTGTACACATCATCTTTGCAGCGAATATCTTTGTTAATCAGAAGATTCTTGCCCTTGTAGCTGAAGATGACATGAACCTTCTTTGTGCCAGGTCCACAAATATCAGGACCTAAGATAAAGTAGAGATTAAAATTTTCCAATGGCCATGGCCATACATGATTTAACTGGGAGAAAATCTACTTACCGAACATAATTTCATAAGGAGTCTCTCCATGCATGTCCTTGGAGTTAAGGTTGCAGTCAAACACCTTAACGTACCCACCCCCACAGTCAATGTTCTGCTCATGTTTCACAGAAAATTGAACAACAAGGGGCTTACCCTTGTTGCTGAAAGGCGGGAACTTGGTTGACAGGGCGTAAAACCTAGCATCCTGAGAGGTCTTTATTCCTGTGCAAAACAAAAAAGAAAACAATTTTCAATTACACTGAAAGAGGTGCAATCTTCCTGTTAAGCTGAAAACTTCATTCATTCCAATAATAAACTCTGCAGACAAGTTTGATACCTATTGACATCATTAGGTCAAATGCTTGCAAGTGCTTGCAATTCACTACAACAAGCTAAAAGGTTTCAAAGCTATTTCTTTGGTTACATTAGAAAATAAAAAGTGAATTTCCCTAAACTTTGCAATGAACCAATTTTTTATCAAAAATGGAAGAGATGACATGTCACTAAGGTGACATCACTGGCTGGCATAACTGCCACATAGCAATAATATGTTGAGGTCCTCAAAACTAGGAAATCATCTGAGGGGTTGTGAACTTCATTCAACCAGCACAGAGACGAGCTATTTAAAGATGAAGTAAGAACAAGAGATGAAAGTAAAATTTTATCACTCACCCTTGTCATTTTCCGGGTCGTTGTAAAAGGCACCAGCACTCGTAACAAACTTGCCGAATTCCTTACCGGGATGTTCAGAATAAGCCCAGTTCTGTTGCCATGAATCTGAAAATAAGCAGGGAGTTCGAATTACATTTACAGTGAACCGCAGCTTGAGGAAATTTGTATGGACATAGTTAAACTAGCATCCGGCATGAAACCTACACCAAGTCCAGAAACGCCGGAAAACAGGCAGAATTACTTACCGTCAAGGAACTTTTCTTCAAAAAATACTTCAGCACTGACAGCAGAAAACGCAACTAGTGCACAAACCCCAAGTAGGAGCTTCATTTTCGTCTAATTTACCAACCAGCACCCAGAACAGTTCCTTACTTAATGCCAAAACATGTACTAGAAAGACCGACGGGCTTGTCGTTCGCTCGAGTGCAACGCAGCAGACAGACAGATGGAATGCTCTGATTCGTCGAGAGTGTTCAGCCAATGAGAGTAGACCACGCTAGGGAGAGGCAGTACTTCTCTCCATTCGTGGCCAATACAACTCGCATCTTCCAGCCAGGGAATGTTACTTCCTGACAAGAAAATTACGTTTACCTGTTGTTCAGAACACGTTTATTGACAAATTTCCTTTGCAGGTAGTGATTTTAGTACGGAACTTTCAGAAGAAAATCACTCGTTTGCGAACATTCATTGATTTTCTTGTCATTTGACTAACCTAGCCGAACAAAAGCCAACGTATGCGACAACCAGCAGAGCCAAGGAAAAAGCGCCAAGATTTAAAGGCCTGCTCCGGCCTGACGTCTGCCTTCTGCCCCGTTTACAAGGGGTGAGAGCGGAGACTGCTTTCCTCTTAACTTAGGTCTAAAAGTTGTGTTGAAATATGATAAAGTGAGGCACTTAATCCAAACGTAATGCTAGTTCTTCATCCCGTCCCGTTAGGTTCGTCTGTTGTTTAGTGTAGAGCACATTTGGCATTTTGCCTGCCTATTTAGAAATGACGTCAATAAATATATTTTAGTGACTAGTATTTGCTGACCTTCAGTTTCAGTCAAGTCATACCTATATTCTTCAGGCAAGTTTCGCAGATTGTTGTGTGTCACCCCCCCCCCTTTTCCCCCAGTCCCCCTTTAAATTTCAATCACATGCATTTGTAGTTTATTCCATGGACATAATTGGAAAGGGCAAGGGGCGTTTTCTCTTTTCCGAAAATAAAAAGTCCCGAACGGGATGCGACTAGCGAGAGGGGCTGCTACCCCAGCTGACGGGTCAATGCCGTCAGGCTATCGGCCTCGCCTCGGTGAAAGTACGACGAGAGGGAGGGCCGGGAGGGCATGGCAAGGCGCGTAAAGCAAGGGCCTAAAGGTCTGCGAATGCGGCAAGCGGCGATACGCCCGCGCTTCGGCCAATGGCAGCCGTCCTCGTGGGCCGGTCGGACGTGTGGGGC